TATATATACCAAATCCCCTCCGATGTTACAAATGTCAAAAATACGGCCATCATGAAGACAGATGCTCTAGAAGCCAAATCTGTGGCCGGTGTGGCGACTCCTCCCACCGGGAATCAGAGTGCAAAGCCACTCCGCACTGCGTTAACTGCGGCAAAGAACATCATGCTAGTTCCAAGGAATGCGACACTTGGAGACAGGAGAAGGAAATCCAGAGGATTAAATACACTTCAAATATCCCTATCCAGAGGCCAGGAAGCTTGTTCAAGCTAGATCATTCCCCGGCCCATCCTTCTCATTGTAGTGAAGAGCAGCCAAAAAGCAACGAAAGATGCACAAACTCAAGCAAACCCGCCTGAACCCCATTCTGATTCGAACATCCCACACTATAGACCGCAGAAAAACTCGACATCGACGCAAACAACATTCAACATTACCTTACCACCAAAATCACTAAATAGCAAGAAAAAGCTTCAAACAAATAGGCGGAAAAAGGGTCTGATGACCCTATAAAAACACACAACAGGTTTGAAGACCTAGAGGACATGGATGCGGAGGAATCTGTTTCATGCCCTCAGGGTAACTCCAGATCCAACAACAAAAGATACACTCCCGTACTTCCTCCAGATAAATAACCAAATTATTTGCCACACGAAAGGTCTAATATACAATTGTAATGAAGAACACCATTTTACAGTGGAATTGTAGAGGACTTAAAGCCAACTACCATGATATTCTTCTGCTTTTAAATGAACATAATCCTGCAGTACTATGTCTTCAGGAAACATTTTTGAAAAATACAGACATCACACTTAAAAACTACTCCCTGTTTAACCACTACTCAGAATTTTGACAGGGCCTCAGGAGGAGTCTCTGTTGTTGTGAACAATAGAGCCCCTCATAATGTCATACCTATAAACACAAATGTACAAGCCATTGCTGTAAGCGTCGCTCTTCAGCGAGTGATTACATTTTGCTCTATTTACTTACCACCAAACACTAACCTAGTTCCAAACGAATTAGATACCCTTGTTCAACAACTTTCTGCACCATTTGTTTTACTCGGAGATTTTAATGCCCATAATATTTTATGGGGATCAAATCATATAAGTGACAGAGGTCACGAAATTGAAGACTTTATTTCTAGACACGATCTGTGTCTCTATAATACCAAAACACCTACATATCTACACCCAGGCACGGGTACATACACATGCATCGATTTGACAATTTGTTCTCCCTCGCTGCTTTTGGACTATGAATGGAAGGTCGCTGATGATCTTCACAGCAGCGATCCCTTCCCTATCTCCCTTGTAAATCTTAACTCTATAATTGATGAAGTAATTCCACAATGGAATTTAAAGAAGGCCGACTGGGTCAAGTTCGAAATACTCTGCAAAACTAGCCTGAATGAGGACACAGTTTTCAATGGCAACAACCCCATTCAGCTTTTTACATCTATTTTAATAGAAATTGCAGAAGACTCTATTCCCAAGTCCTCTACCAACTGTAAAAGAATCCTAAAACCTTGGGTCACTAAGGAATGTACGGAAGCCATTAGACTACGTCGAAAAGCATTAAACAAATTTAATAATCATCCGACGCCAGAAAACTTAAATATATATCGCATTGCCCGAGCCAAAGCTCGTCGCACAATCAGGGAAAGTAAAAGAGCATCATGGAAGAAATTTGTTTCTTCTTTAAACTAGAGTTCCTCTGTTCAGAAGGTTTGGGATACTGAACGCAAAATAAACGGAAAGAACAAACAAAACCCTCTCCGACACCTGCAACTAAACAATAAAAACTTTATTTCAAAACGTGACATTGCAAATACTCTTGCTGACAGTATCTCCAAAAATTCATCATCATCTAACTATACCGAAGCCTTCCAAAAACTTAAAGCTCAAAAATAAAATTCACGTTTACAATTCACATCCAACAACTCGGAAAGTTATAATCAGTTGTTCTCATTATCGGAGCTTATTGAGGCTTTAGATAAGGCCCATGATACATCCACTGTGCCTGATGAAATACATTGCCAGTTTTTGAAACACCTTCCAGAATCATCATTAACAACTCTTTTGAAACTCTTCAATGATTTATTGCTTATTGGTAATATACAAAAAAAACTGGAAAGAAGCAACTGTAATACCAGTTCCCAAACCCGGTAAAGATAGCGAAGACCCCAACAGCTACCGACCAATTGCACTGACAAGCTGTGTGTGCAAAACTATGGAACGAATGATCATTTCTCGACTTCTCTGGTACTTGGATTCTCGACTTCTCTGGTACTTGGAAGCTAACAATTTAATATCTCCTTTCTAAAGTGGCTTTCGATATGGACGGAGTACTAATGATCATCTAGTTAGACTAGAAACATTCATTCGTGATAAGTTTATCAAGAAAGAACATTTAGTAGCGGTTTTTTTTTATTTAGAAAAGGCCTATGACACAACATGGAAGTACGGGATACTAAAAGACATGCACGATCTGGGACTCAAAGGCCGTCTGCCCTCATTTATCTCCAATTTTCTCTCTGACAGAGAATTCAAAGTTAGAGTGGGCTCTACCCTCTCCGATACGCACCAGCAAGAGATGGGTGTACCCTAGGGCAGTATTTTATCTGTGACGTTATTTAACATCAAAATCAATAGTATCACCAAATGCTTAGCTCCAGGTGTTGATTGCTCATTATATGTTAACGATTTTTTAATTTGTTATCGATCAAAGCACATGCATACAATTGAGAGGCAACTCCAGCAAAATATCAATAAGATTCAAAGTTGGGCCAGTAATAACGGTTTCAAATTTTCAAAATCAAAAACAGTATGTATGCAATTCTGTCAGTTGCGAAGACATCATGATGATCCTAAACTCACGCTGGATGGAGCACTTATTCCAGTTGTTCAGGAAACAAAATTCTTGGGTATTCTATTTGACAGAAAGCTGACATTCATACCACACATTAAGAATTTGAAAGCTAAATGCTTCAAAGCCTTAAATTTGATTAAAGTAATAGCTCACACTGATTGGGGGACTGATAAAAAATGTTCTCCCTAATTTGTATAGAACATTTATCCATTCCATCTTAGACTATGAATACATTGTTTATGGTTCAGCTAGTAAGTCATAGTTGAAAATGCTTGACCCAATTCATCATCAGGGAATAAGACTTGCTCTAGGAGCATTTAAGACATCTCCGTAAGAAAGCCTTCTCGCGGAAGCGAATGAACCACCTTTATCGCATCGCAGAGAAATGATTTCTGCACAATATGCTCTTAAGTTACGATCCAACCCTCTGAACCCTGCTTTTTCGGCCGTTTTTCATCCAAATTACAAAGTTATATACGTAAATAAACCAAATGCTATACCTTCATTTGGTATTAGAATATCATCCTGCTTTGACCAAATCAAATGTAATCTATCTTCAATCCAGAAAACATTTGTCTCGAAAACACCACTTTGGCTCATTAAGCAACCCCAAGTGATTTTTACGTTACACGAACGGAAAAAATCTGAGACAAACCCTATCCTATTCTTGAACTCTTATCATGATCTTCTCAATGACTTTACACATTATGATAGATTTTATACTGATGGATCAAAGTTTGCTGATAAGGCTGTTCCAGCCTTCGTCAGTGGCAAACACATAACCAAAGAGCGTTTGCCAAATGATGCATCCATATTTTCAGCGGAAATCAGAGCAATAGACCTTGCTCTGACATTTATCGAATCTAAACACATTCTAAATAGTATTATCTTCTGTGACTCATTATCAGTGCTTCAGGCGCTACACAATATCAAACTAGATAATCCACTATTGGTGAATGTTCTGGTCAAAAACTCTGAGCTTAGTGCCTTATGCAATATAGTATACTGTTGGCTACCTAGCCATATTGGTATTAGAGGTAACGAAGAAGCAGACCGGGCTGCTAAGATGGCCCTATCTTTAGAACCATCGGATTTTAAATTACCATATTCTGATTGTAAACCTTGTATCAAAAAGTATCTACGTCAAACGTTGCAGGTATCATGGGATGATGCAATAAATAACAAACTTCATGCCATCAAACCAATCTTGGGAGAATGGACTCCTTCCTACAGAACTATTCGTAGGGAGGAGGTTGTCATTGCAAGAATCAGAATCGGTCATACATACATTACCCACTCACACATACTAAAAGGTGAAGATACTACAGAGTGCGTTCATTTCAATGTACCATTTACTGTTAAACACTTTATGACCACGTGTTCCGACCTGCAACCTACGCGTGATAAATACTATAAAGTACACGACATGCAGGAACTTTTTGATACTATTCAAATCACTAGCATTTTAGATTTCCTAAATGAAGTAAATCTTTATTTTAAACTGTAACTTGTATGACCTTACCCAAACTAATTTTTAACTAATGCAAATACTAAATATTAATTACATCTTTTCATCAAGATACATCATTTACATTTCCCGTTGATCGGGAACCAACATCTTTAACTGTTACCAACATGTACCATTTTATATTTCACTACTACGGATTTTTTACTATATCGCTGGTCGATATTGAACCTTTTTTTTACAGACATGACATACTGTATGGCGCTAAATAATCTAAACGTGCTGGTGCGCCGTTAAAATTAAATCAATCAATCAATCATTAAGTGTTGTTGTTATAGGGTTTAGCGCCATTTTTCAGCACAATATAGCACATTAAGACCAATTCACATTAGTACTGTTTCTTCACAATTTAAGTGTGTGTGAGAGAGAGAGAGAGAGAGATTTGGATTTTTAGCTTTAACAATTTTTTTTCGGTCGTATTGTTACGATGTTTGCAGTGTGACAGTTTATAGTGATGTCTAGCACTGGTGCATCATGCGGCAGATATGTAACATGTAACACTTAGTCACATTATCCTGACACCGGGCCAACCATTCCTAACACTACCCTCCTAATGCTGAGCACCAAGTGAGGCAGCTGTTAGTACCATTTTTATAAGTTTTTGGCATGACTCGGCAGGGGATTGAACCCACGACCTCCCATATCCGAGGCGAACACTCTAACCACTACACCACCAAAGCGGTATTTACGTATGTATGTATGTATGTATGTATGTACATTTTAAATAATTTATGTTTTAGACAATAAGGTAAAATATTAAATAGGACTTAGTTTTAAATATATTCCAAAACTTAATCCTGTAATATAAAAATATAAGTCCTATCACTAAAAAGTTCTAAATAAAACCAAGTTCGAATCTCTATGACGTCGTATATAATCTGCCTTTTGTTGATGTGTCACCAGTTCCTTGTTAATTTTATGAATCATCAATAATTTTCGGCTATAGGAATCCAAATAATTTCCACTGAATGTCTTTATCCAAGAATCTTTTTGAATACACGTATTCTCCAAGTTGAATATATTATTTTAAACATTAAAATCAAATCAAATTAACTGAATTTTCTATAAATAAACGGTAAAATGTTTTAGGACAGAAATTTTAAATAAAAATGACGTTGGAATTTTCTCTTAATTTCATCAAAACTATATTTTATTGGATTTAATTCTCATTAAATTATGTTGTGGAGTAGTTTCATTAAAATATGTGCAAGATTACTATTTATTAAAGCTATGTTCTGTTTTGATAAAGATTGCTGACTCAGTGAATAACCCCTTACAACAAATGCAAATCTTTGTAGTAATGGCCTATTGTTTGAATCTCCTTTCACTGAAGAGTATTTTGTTGCAGAGGATGACTGACGCAGAGCGCCTCGATTTGAGTGTGAGTTCTTAGAGCGTCTGACACTTTCGCTTGCGGAAGTACGGTATACCGTGTCAAGTTATAAACAGGCTGACATAGTAGACAGTTTTTATTGAAGAGCCTGACTCGAGTCGTATGGGGTAAGGATAAACAGGATCTCTCCAGTTTGGACCACGCAGTACAGGCATGATGATAACATAGCACGCTCATATCCAAGTCCTTATTAAAACTGGATGGTTACGGGCATATTGAACCAGTATAAATAAGCGCCAAGTTGCTGGCACCTTAAACTTGCGGTTCCAAGCTGGAAGAGATTCATTTCTGTATTTTATTACCGGTAAGAATCGTTTATGTTTATAAATTTCTTAAAGAATAAGTACTTTTGAAAGATAACGAATTTAGTTGTAACCTTCCTAGTTGCAATTTTCTTGTAAGTTTTCATTTTGTTTTAATATTATAACATAAGAGAATGTTTAATTGTTTTTAAGAATTTATATTCATTTGAATTTGTATTTATATTATGGTAAAAAATTTAATTTCCCACCGACTTCATGTTTACATTTAAATTGGGAATATAAATATTCTTGAAGGAATAAAGAATAATGTTTAGTAATCTATTCCAAATCAGTTTTTTTTTAAATCCTAAATTAAGTAAAATGTATTTTTTTCAAAACGATTGTTGCATTAATTGCAACTATTTTATACTCTTTGTATAGCCTATCTTGTGCTGAAAAATGGCGTTAAGCCCTATATCAATAACAACAACAACTTTGATTTATTCCAGATCTAATTATCTATACTATGTTTTAAAATGCAGACACTACACAAATATATGGAGTTGAGTAAAATATATTTCTTCAAAACGATTGTTGCATTAATCGCAAATATTTTATACACTTTGTATAGCCTACAATTTTGTGCTGAAAATGGCGTTAAACCCTATAACAACAACTTTGATTTAGTCCAGATCTAATTATCTACATTATATTTTTAAATGCAGACAATACACAAATATATAGAGTTAATAGGCACGAAGGAAAAGTATGACATGCATTTTATGCATTTTTTTAATATAAATGCTTTATAAAGTGTATCTTTAGCATTTATCATTATATATATATATATATATATATATATATATATATATATATATATATATATATATATATATATATATGTGTGTGTGTGTGTGTGTGTGTGTGTGTGTGTGTGTCAATTATATAAATAAAATAATTATGCGGTCCAGGCTGGAGGAGATTCATCTCTGTATTATTTTACAGACCGCCTGTATCTTCGCATTGCATAGTGTTCCCAAAAGATGCAGCCGTATTTACACCTTTATGCCGTATACCTTTTTAAGAGTGGTGCCGAACGTTCTCTCTCTCTCTCTCTCTCTCTCTCTCTCTCTCTCTCTCTATATATATATATATATATATATATCTATATATATATATATATATATATGTATATATATATGTATATATATATGTATATATATATATGTATATATATATATATATATATATATATATATATATATATATATATATATATATATATATATATATATATACAGAGAGAGAGAGAGATGTGGGCTGAGGCAGTTCTTAAGACATTAGCAATCTCTTCGCATAGCAGAAAAGATTATAAGATAAACATTCTTTATCATAAGTGGTTGGACAATAATCATAAATAAAATTTTTTACGAAGAACATTTTCTTAAAACATTAAATAAATAAAGTTCATTATAATAAGTTCAATGAAAAAATATAAAGGAATTTCAAAGTAGCAAAAGTAATTAAATTACATATACGTAACAGTATCATTTTTTTATGTCTATCACTTAGTTTACATGTAAAATGACATCATGGATGATTGTACAGTTCATTTATTCTTTTGTACACTTTTATATGTGCATAAATCACCGTGTTGATAGCTCTGGTGGCTTTGTGGTCAGAGCGTTCGCCTCGGGTGCAGGAGGTTGCGGGTTCGAACCCAGCCGAGTCATAACAAAGTCAGAACAAATGGTACTAGAAACTGCCTCGCTAGACGATAAGCATCAAGAGGTTAGTGCTACGGTGGGTCTTCCCGTGACTGGGTGGACATCGTGCTACATGTCTGCGGCATGGTGTCCCAGTGTTTGACATCACCATAAATTGTCGCGCTGCAGGCATCGTAGCGATAAGAAGGTAATAATTGTTAAGCTTAACAATGTTAAAATTCCAGATTATACACACACAGAGCCTTTCATCAGCCGCTGTTACATATAGGATCGTATAATTATAACAAATATAAAAGAGACTAGAGATTTAAGGCATGCATTAATAATATATTGGATACATTACCTCTCTTCACAAAGCTACATATGCTTTTTCAGAAATCTGATTCAGATTCAGACACGGGAAAATCCTATCACCAGACCTACATTTCTGAACAATTGAAATCATCTAAGGACAGAAACAAAACTAGAATCACTTACAATGGTGTTGAACTCAAGTTACACAGGAGCACATTGAAAAAAGTTTTAGATGATGTCTAACCTTCGCCACGAGTTTGTGACAAATTTGCAGGTGAAGATGACTGCAAGATTTCCAAAGAGCAGCACACAGGTGACAGCATCAAAACGAGGTTCTTGGTTTACGTAACCTCACATTCCTATCTTCTGAAGAACAGGAAATGTATGGTTGTGACTAGATAAAAATTATGTTATTTTTGTCAGGAGAAGAAATCAAAACAAGACATCAGTCCCCCTTTGTGTTACCCAAACCATGTTTTGACAGAGTGGTCCTTTGCTAAGACTGTTATTAAAATAGAAATCTGCCATGATTTCAACTGAAGGATTCATCCGAGAGATTTCAATTTTAACAAGGCATTGGTAGAGTGGAGGATGAGAAAAAACAGGATGCTTTTTAGGAAATGGTGATCATATTTGCAGAATAATGCAATCACAATTACATTCAGTCCGGATGCATATGTATATGTTTCAGTGTAAGAATTAACTGTTATATAAACTGTTTACATACATTTCCTAGTTCATTTTCAGCTTTGAAAGTTTCCTTAAAAATAAAATATGCGCTCTTCTGATCTTTCTTAGTATGAATCTGTAACCAATCAGAACTGAGCATGTGACACTGTTTTTTTTAAGATGGACAGAGGAGTGAATATTTGCAGTATATGGTTTGATTCTTTAATGGTTAGTGTGTAAATAGAATATTGCTTTTACGATACTAATTTTTCGAATTTTGAAGAATCTGAATAATCTGTTTCACAAACACTTAGCAATGTTCTACTGCGTGGCTAGAAGGGAAGATAGAGAGAAAAAGGGAGGAATTCGGACTCTCAAAGACAAGGTATCATGCGTAATGGTGTCGATACAGCTACATCTTTAGGGTAAACTCTGGCAGCAAGAGGTAGCGGAGATCGCTGTAAATACGAACAGACAAACTTACCTGACTGGGGCTTAATCGACTTTTATTGATATATGTGAAACTATGTTCTAAAGTTACACTTATTCATGCAATACATATTACAATACATTTTGAATAATTTCTCTGTGATCTACTACTTCATATGCTTGTAAAATTCTAAGCATTTTAGAATGCGATACAAGTGATTAAAATATTGCTTGAATTCAAAAAGCCTAAAATTCAATAGTTACGACTGATGTTATAATGATTTCAAGGAATATGTTTTGTTTCATATAAATTAGAATAATAACCTGCAAACGATCACTGGACATTATACTGTATTATCTAAAGAATACTCTGAAGCTAGCGAATTCATACAAATGAACACAGAAATAATAAAATATTTCATTACATTATAGTAGTACATAAAAAGAGAACTCACAAAAATATTGCGACTACAAGTTACTACAAAAATCTTTAAAGTAAGTAATAGGAAATTCTTATCTGTAAATACGAACAAACTTTTCTGACTGGGGCTTAATCGACTGAAGTTTTCAGATAGGCTCGGTCTTTATATATCCCAAAATGACGTGGAATAACTACGTGCCCCAAACAGAATGACTGTTCTGAGTTAATTATTGTAAAGATTCCGAAATGGCGTGGAATAACTACGTGTCCCAATCAAAATGCCTGTTTCGAGTCAATTATTGTAAAGAGGATATCGCTTTTGTTCAACTCTTAACATGGATTATGGCCAATCATTTTTTTTTTGTTCCACTCGTGACATGGATTACCACTCGTAACATGGAGTAATAGTTGAAAAAAAAAAAACGAGACCTGATTTGTTCGGCTGATTTTCAGTAAAAAGAAAGAAAGGAAATCGTTTATTGTCATGAATTACAAGTAAGTCGGTTATTATGACATCCAAACTATGAAATTGAACAAGATTATTTAATTTTGTAGCTAATCTCAATTTGTAAGGAACAATGATTCGTTCAGTTGAAAAGAAGCGAGTAAATCGTTTATTGTTATGAATTATGAACCAGGCTATTTAGGGTTACATTTGTTAAAAGGCGGCTTCTAAGGTAAGTCGGTTTTTATGTCATTCAAGCCATTGAATTAAACCAAGCTATTCAATTTGTAACTAATCTTAATTTGTAAGGACCAACATAGTCCTATGTACTTTTTTGTTTCTCTGCTCAAATTTGATATCCTAATATTGCTATTAGAAAACATTGTTTTCAGTTTAAAGTGTTATACTACAATATACAGAAGACATGACAATTTCTTAATATACTATTACACTTGCTATTGCTCTTTTTGAATACATTGAAATGGGCGATCGTTTGATTATTTTTATGCAGGGGGCAAACTGTTTTTGCAGTGGAGGAGTCAGAATTTATTAGGGGGTGGGGGTGAATCATTCACGGCCGGGATAGTTAGTGTAAGACGCAGTCTAAAACTAAAACTAATATTTATTAAGCGTTTTGAACAGAATCTTGTGACCTATTATGAGCTTCATTTGCCTGATTAAACTCTCTCTCTCTCTCAATCAATCAATCAATCAATCAGTCAATCAATCAATCAACATACATAAACACTGCAAAAATGTTAAGTGGTAACCATCAAATTAAGAATTCATCTATGAGTGTACATCATGTAATTCGTATACAATATTAATGTTTAATACCACTGTGGCACAAAAACAACCACTGCATGATTTAGAATTGGTCATATTCATGTTATCCACTCCTACCGATTTAAGTGTGATGACCTACCTTTGTGCATTTCTTGCAATGACCCCTAAACTACGAAGCATTTTATGATAGATTGTTTCCATCTCCAACCTACACGCAATCGTTACTAGTGTTTAGCACATGCAGGACCTTTTGATACGGTAAATGTTTTGTATTTAAATTGCTTGACGAAAACAAACATTTATTTAAAAACATGATGGTGTGCAATCCCATTTCATTATAGTATTTAAGCAATATTCGTACTGTCAATCACCCTAATTTTTTTATTATTGATTAGCCTTTACAAAGAACATTTAAATTCACCTCTCGTAGAGAACCCACATATTTTCACCATATCGTTGTGTTTCTATACGTAGCTCTTTCATTTTAAACTCTGGATTCTGGTCTGTTTAGATCACTTTACACGGTCTTGCATTTGCCTAATACAGAGCGCACATATATGGATTCCCAATTGTAGCTTTATTCCAAGCTGTAGTCTAATAGACCAAAGTTGCATCATTTTATATATTATTCTTGAAATATAAATACAACATTTTGTGTTGTTACACGTTCAGAGTTTAAGCTCAGTATTAAACAAAATAATTTCTATAAACAAAGACCTTGGGAGTAAACGTTCGTATACCTACCTATACGGTTATATGACAATTTGAAAAACTCCAGTTTTTCGGACCTTTTTAAATTCTGACAACGAATGACATTTTTTAAACTATATTCGGCAACAGTAAAGATTACACACTATACTATGGTGTTACATACATCTAATTTACATCGTAGGCTTGTCATTTTGGTCGTAGATGTGGGAAGAATTTTTGTATATCTGACTTGTGACATATTTTCCCGATATTTAGTGAGTTCACAACCAACTTTGTTATGAGCTTAGAAGGTTCTTGAAGCAAACATGTTTACAATTTGCTGAATTCTTCCATTAGAAATTTGGGTTATCCAGAGCAATTGATTGCTTCGTAGGTCAAGAGGCTATTCATATCTAAACAGAATTATTAATTCCTGCTTAATATCAGTCTTTGGGGATCTGTGATCCGAGTTTATAGTTATGTTCAGATATATAGTTTGAGATGAATAGTATAATGATTCATTGGAATTGCAGAGTGCTCATTGACGTTTTGGACTAAATCTATTCTGAGATCACTGAGAACCCATTTAACGAATTCGGTATTATATGATTCTGTTACATCGAGACATTCATGATTCTTGGTACATCAGGACATTCAAGATTATTGGAATTGATTCGGAACATTATATACTTTTGGATTTTTTGGGATAGAACATTTAGGAATATTTTGTGATTTTGATTCACAATACTGTTTGTATCTTTTAAATTGTCACCTTGTACTATAGGGAAATAAATTCTTGAACTTTATTGTTTTTGTGGGGGAAAGGGTAAGGGAATTTGCTCTTTTTTATTATTTTACATTTGGTTGGTTTCACTACCTTTCTGGTGCATATTTCAAGACCTAGTCTCGTAACAATAGCATCACCAGATTATATGCTTTCTCTAGATATAATCACAGACGATATCGAAGTCTGTATTATCTGACATAATAAGTGATCAGGTATTATTATTATTATTATTATTATTATTATTATTATTATTATTATTATTATTGTTGTTGTTGTTGTATTTAATTGTAATATGTGCCTTCTGCCCAACTTAAATGCATCTATTAAAATATGGTACAACCACAAAGAACCACAAAGATAATGATTATATGATTACGGTATTGATAATAATTAATAGCAATATTTCGTAGTATATTAATATCATTATTGATTCTCTGGATAAAGTTGTAAAACGTAATATTATCTGCATTATAATGAAGGTACACAGGCTTTCCCCAAAT